AAAACTGTACAAATGTCCTGCATTTCCAAGCACTTTCACCTATACTTTTAGCCATTATCAAGGATGAATTTTATTTTTGCTTTTTAACTGAATGTGTGAGCTGTGTGTATGTGTGTATGTATCTAGAGTTATAGGGATGTTTTATTTTCCAAACACAGTCAGCACATTGTGGCCATGTTTGTAAGTTAATGTTATTGAATGTTAGCTTTTTCTTTTTTATTATTAGGGCTTCCATTATTTTTAATCTTTTTTCACATGTGGATGTTTGTATTTTCTATTATTATGTTTCAGATGGTGTCTGGTAGGTTTGTGTGTGTGTTTAAATGAGTTCTAATGGAATTATGATCAGATAGATGTAACGTAAGTCGTCTGAATAGGCATGTAGTAGTGCGACCAATGTAATTATTTATGAGTTTGGTTTGATCAGGAACGCAGTTCTTTAAGAAGCATTTGAACTTGAAAATAATGTTGGTTCTTTGTAGGTTTGATTTTGTAAGTGTGTTGTTATTTTTGAGGATAAGTTTAGCTGTTTTTAATTTTTTGTAATAGATAATTAATTTAATTTTTTTTTAGGTCAACTATTTAGGTTTATGATTTTTCTAAGTGAAGATTTATCTTGCTTATAGTTGACGTGCATTTGGCTTTTGTAGAAGATGTTTATGTTATTGTTTTTGCCTGTGTGTTCAGAATCATTATTATTTATTTTGTAAAGAAAATAAAAAAAGAAATATTCTAATCTAGTGGTCAATGAGGTAGTTAGAAAAACCATTGTTAACTAGTGCCTGTTTTGCAATCTTGAGTTCTTTAAGGAAAAGTAGACGAGAGCATGAATTCTAATGTGCTCTCTTTAGGAAATTTTTTATCACTATTATTTTGTATCTAAGTGGGCATTTACTCTTAAAATTAAGGTGGCAAGAGTTTCTGCTAGTGATCTTTTTTATACAATGAGGTGGTGAAATTGTTGTTACTGTATTCTATAAGAATGGGAGTCTATTTTTTTGACTTAGTTCGTAGGTAAAGTTACGGGCAGAGTTTTTTCAAATGTGGTTTTGAAACAAAAGGCAAATCACATCAACTATATATATATATATATATATATATATATATATATATATATATATATATAATTAAAGTATAGTTTTAAGGTATGGGATTTTATGGATTGAAGTGATTGGCAAAATCTTGTTGGGAATCTATTTAAAGCAGCAATTCTTACATCTTATTAATGAAATTCAAAGGAATATATGATTTATCATTGTGCATATATATATATATATATATATATATATATATATGCACAATGATAAATCATATATATATATATATATATATATATATAATTAAGTAATTCATCGAGTTCTAGAAGAAACCTCAACCAAATGCAGAAAGCACTGGACGGCCATTTTGTCCTATATTTGGGACCCATCAGCAGTGCACATCCACTACCAAGAACTGAAACCCGGACAGTTATATTATCAGGCAAACATCATACCAACTGTTCCAACAGGCCTTGGTGACGAAGAGGTAGCAAATTTGACACCACTCAATCACATATTCCATGGTGGAACTCATCTGAGTTTCTTTTTTAACCATAGGACTGTGCCTCCACAAGCCATGACTACTATCACCAAGTGGGTTCAAGCAAGGATATACAAGTGATAGAAATTAGGAGGATTTGAGATAATTATAATTAAGTAATTCATCAAGTCGAGAAGAAACTTCAACAGAATGCAGAAAGCACTGGACGGCCGTTTCATCCTATATTTGGGACTCAACAGCAGTGTGCATCCACTATGGAGAATTGCTGGATGCAATTGTCAGGCTGATGATTGCATCCAGCATGAAACAGCCTGTTGCCTCTAAGTGTTGACTTCAATGTTCATTTGCGCAAGTGATTTCTTTTGGACATAGAGTGTGTTCAATCATCTTCCACAAAACCTGTATAAAGGAGGAATTGCTGCCCAAATACACTATATATATCTATATATATATATATATATATATATTCTGATTTATATATATATATATCTAAGTATAGGATTGGTGTATATGGAATAAATTCCACTAACCAACAAATACTATTCTTAAAAGAGTGCTCAATACAGAGTAGAGCAAATATAATTATTTATTTGAAAATTATAACATAAATATGTTATAAAATCACAACAAACACCATCCCTTGATAAGACACCAGAAGCGTTGAAATGAAATGGCTATTTTCGTAGTGATTTTATAACATATTTATGTTAGAATTTTCGAATAAATAATTATATATATATATATATATATATATTGTGTATTTGGGCAGCAATCCCTCCTTTATACAGGTTGCTGGTTGGTGGGGAGGAATATTTATTTTTTCAATAAAAAAGAATAAATATTTAAAAATCAATATAATATGATTTTCTAGAATTTTTTTAATATTCTATCTCTCACTTTCAAAACAGACCTACTCTGAAAATTATAGACCGTTACTATTTTTGTAAGGTGGCAAACTCAGAAAATCAAAAGAGGATGAAATGAAATATATATATATATATATATATATATATATATATATATATTTATTTATTTATTTAAATAAATAATTAAATAAATAAATAATTATATTTATGCTCTACTTTTGTATCAAGCACTATTTTTAAAAATAATAACAAAAATACTAAAGAAATTTGATTATTTACCTAACAAGTTTTTTTCCTATTTTCTATATATTTTTCACATATATTTATATATATATATATAAACTAAAAACCCCAACAATTTTGGTCTGACCAATAGACAACTTGCCAAAAGACCTAAAATTTTAAACAAGAAAAAAATCCTTAACAATGAAAGCAAAAAGAAAAAAAAGACCAAAAGACAAACACCTACTATGCGTAAATTAAATTGCTCAATTTCTAAACTATGAAAACAGAGCAAGAAACAAAGAAATATTTCCGAACATCAACATGAAGGACTGCTTGAGTCACACTGTCTCTCTCTCTCTCCTATATATATATATATATATATATATATATATATATATATATATATATATATATATATATATATATAATATATGACGCCATTTGTTTACATTTGATACGCCAGAGCAGTTATGAATGTACGAGATTCATGGAAGATTGAAGTTTATAAGCAGTAAATTCGACCTTGCCTACGAACGCTCCTTTGTGGAGATTTGGTAAGGCACGTCAGTGTAAATGATTTGTTCAGTATAGGATGCAGGTTTGAATCCTGTCAAAGGACGAATATTTTCTATGAAAATTTCTCGGACATTCAGGCCGGTAAATGTTATTTAATACTGTTTATTATAAACAGAGCATTTACTTAAATACTTGTATCTATAAAAAAGAACGTTAAACATAAAAATGTCTTTAATAAATATATATATATATATAATTTTTGTAGATAACACTGTCATTCTAAGAAAATTTAATTATAAAAGACACCTTAAGATAATTGAAGCATTTTATATGAAACAATTTAAGCAAAGTCAGTACCTTACCCTATTTGTGAATGGAAAGAGAATGCAGGCAGTCTTTTACAGATGCTTGCCAACATATAATAAGCATTACTCCCATCCAAGCCCGATTAAAATTACTCCTACTTCTAAAGACACCCCAACATGGAATTACTCTACCATCTGACATGGCTTAGAATTTCTCCTATTTCTACATAATACATCTTAGAACCTAAACCTAGGAAAGCATACCCCTTGAAAATGAGTAATGAAATGCACTTTTGGCAATAATCATTACAGACATGTTTTGCAATTATTCCTCAGAAAAGCAACTTGAATTGAGAAGTCGGAGAGCTCAGTTTGAATTCCAGTTAAATTCAATAAATTCACTAACATGTTAATACCCATGGAAAAGGTATGAATCCTTCTCTTCTAAGCTGATATGTGTGGGGAGTCTGGCTGTTGCTAAGAAGAACTGAACTGCTTAAACATCATATATCCGAAAATGGCAAGAGAGTCCAATATATATATATATATATATATATATATATATATATATATATATATATATATATAGGTTATAAATGTGTAGAAAGGCCTGACATTTGTGCTTAGCTTGAAACAGATTGTCGCCTCTGGGTGTTGACTTCAATGTCATCTTTTATATTTACATACACTCCATCCCCCTGTTATTGAATACTTTAAGCAATAAATATAGCAAACTATAAAACTATATTTTATCATATATATATATATATATATATATATATATATATATATATGTATGTATGTATGCATGTCTATTTTGGCAGCATGTCATTATTGAGGCATCTGTTGTTAAAGACTACAGAATTTTTCCGTTTAATAATCTTTTTTTCTGTTTTTCCCTGCTTTCTTGTAAGTTTTTTTTTATATCTGGATCTGAGTTGTTGAAAAAAGACCCTAGTCCTTGGTATTCTGCCGAGTGTTTTCCGTTGTCATCAATCACCATCATGACTGTATGTTCTGGTTTGTCGTAGGTTGTTTATTCTTTTACAGATAATATTTTGGGTATTTAGGAAGTGTTGTTGGATTAGTTCATTAGCATTTGGAAGGGGGTTGGTATTTATTATTTGGAGGATTAGTTATTAAATATGTTTAAGATGTTTCTGCCAGTTTTAAATGCTATTTTATTTATGTTGGGTTTTTGGGTTTTAATTATGATGGCTACAAGAATTTGTAAACGTTTTTTGCATTTGTTTTTGTAGAGTATCAACAATACCAAAATATCCTACAAAAACAAATGCAAAATACACTTTATTTCTCTCTTTCTACAACTCTCTTTGTTTACCCTTTTGTTTACTTTCTGCATCTTTCACTTCCCTCTTTTAAACTCTGTTTCCCTCTCCCTATTTATTGTACACTCTCTTGTCTTTAATTTCATTTTCTTTCACATTCTTTCTTTTATTCTTTATCTACCTCCTCTCTTACTCTCTTCATACCTTCCTCATTTTTTCTTCTCTTTATCTCTACTCCTTCTTCTATTACAACTTTCTGGATGATTTTCCCATTTTCTTTCTCTTCTTACACTATCCTTTTCCACCTTTCTCTTTTCTCACTTTGTCTACCTTTCTTTTGTTCCCACTTTAGCTTTCTACATCTCACCCTCCTTTGTTCTTGTCCCCCCCCCACTTTCTTTCTTTCTTTCTTTCTTTCTTTCTTTCTTTCTTTCTTTCTTTCTTTCTTTGCTTGTTCTCTAGTTATAATATTCTTTTCCTTTCTTTCTTTTTTCTATATCTTTCCGTTCCTTTCTCCTCTGATTGTCTCTTTTCCTCCTTTTAAATTGCTTTACTTATCTTACTTCTCTATCCTTTCTTTCTCTTCCTCTTCCCTCTGAATTCTCTTTTTATCCCTCTCACATTTCCCTTCTCTTGACATCTAGGATCTCTCTCCTTTTTGCTCTCTCTCTCTCTCTCTCTCTCACACACACACACACACACACACACACACGCACACACACTTTTCCTTCTATTGTTCTTGCCACCCCTCTCTCTCTTTTTCTAACCTGCATTCTCTTTTGTTTTTTTCACTTCATACCTATCTCTCTCACCATCTCTTTCTTTCTCTCTCTCACTATCTCTTTCTTTCTCTCTCTTTCTAACTTCCCCTTCTCTAATTTTCTACCATCTTTCTCTCACTCTTTTTTTCCTTTTTCCCTTCTACTTTCTAATAATTTTCTCACTTTCTCACTCTCTTTCTAATTTTCGCACTTTTCTTTTCTACCACTCTTTCTTTTTCTCTCACTTTTTCTCACATTGCCATTGTCCTCTTCAGTTCTATTGTCTCTTTCTCTCACATTGCCATTGTCCTCTTCAGTTCTATTGTCTCTTTCTCTCACATTGCCACTGTCCCCTTCAGTTCTATTGTCTCTTTCTCTCACATTTCCATTGTCCTCTTCAGTTCTATTGTCTCTTTCTCTCATATTGCCACTGTTCTCTTCAGTCCTATTGTCTCTTTCTCTCACATTGCCATTGTCCTCTTCAGTTCTATTGTCTCTTTCTCTCACATTGCCATTGTCCTCTTCAGTTCTATTGTCTCTTTCTCTCACATTGCCACTGTCCCCTTCAGTTCTATTGTCTCTTTCTCTCACATTGCCACTGTCCTCTTCAGTTCTATTGTCTCTTTCTCTCACATTGCCACTGTCCCCTTCAGTTCTATTGTCTCTTTCTCTCCCATTGCCACTGTCCTCTTCAGTTCTATTGTCTCTTTCTCTCACATTGCCATTGTCCTCTTCAGTTCTATTGTCTCTTTCTCTCACATTGCCATTGTCCTCTTCAGTTCTATTGTCTCTTTCTCTCACATTGCCATTGTCCTCTTCAGTTCTATTGTCTCTTTCTCTCACATTGCCACTTTCCTCTTCAGTTCTATTGTCTCTTTCTCTCACATTGCCATTGTCCTCTTCAGTTCTACTGTCTCTTTCTCTCACATTGCCAATGTCCTCTTCAGTTCTATTGTCTCTTTCTCTCACATTGCCATTGTCCTCTTCAGTCCTATTGTCTCTTTCTCTCACATTGCCATTGTCCTCTTCAGTTCTATCGTCTCTTTCTCTCACATTGCCACTGTCCTCTTCAGTTCTATTGTCTCTTTCTCTCACATTGCCAATGTCCTCTTCAGTTCTATTGTCTCTTTCTCTCACATTTCCATTGTCCTCTTCAGTTCTATTGTCTCTTTCTCTCACATTGCCACTGTCCTCTTCAGTTCTATTGTCTCTTTCTCTCATATTGCCACTGTCCTCTTCAGTTCTATTGTCTCTTTCTCTCACATTGCCATTGTCCTCTTCAGTTCTATTGTCTCTTTCTCTCACATTGCCAATGTCCTCTTCAGTTCTTTTGTCTCTTTCTCTCACATTACCACTGTTCTCTTCAGTTCTATTGTCTCTTTCTCTCACATTGCCATTGTCCTCTTCAGTTCTATTGTCTCTTTCTCTCACATTGCCAATGTCCTCTTCAGTTCTATTGTCTCTTTCTCTCACATTGCCACTTTCCTCTTCAGTTCTATTGTCTCTTTCTCTCACATTTCCATTGTCCTCTTCAGTTCTATTGTCTCTTTCTCTCACATTGCCAATGTCTTCTTCAGTTCTATTGTCTCTTTCTCTCACATTGCCATTGTCCTCTTCAGTTCTATTGTCTCTTTCTCTCACATTGCCAATGTCCTCTTCAGTTCTATTGTCTCTTTCTCTCATATTGCCATTGTCCTCTTCAGTTCTATTGTCTCTTTCTCTCACATTGCCAATGTCCTCTTCAGTTCTATTGTCTCTTTCTCTCACATTGCCAATGTCCTCTTCAGTTCTATTGTCTCTTTCTCTCACATTGCCAATGTCTTCTTCAGTTCTATTGTCTCTTTCTCTCACATTGCCATTGTCCTCTTCAGTTCTATTGTCTCTTTCTCTCACATTGCCATTGTCCTCTTCAATCCTATTGTCTCTTTCTCTCATATTGCCATTGTCCTCTTCAGTTCTATTGTCTCTTTCTCTCACATTGCCATTGTCCTCTTCAGTTCTATTGTCTCTTTCTCTCACATTGCCATTGTCCTCTTCAGTTCTATTGTCTCTTTCTCTCACATTGCCAATGTCCTCTTCAGTTCTATTGTCTCTTTCTCTCACATTGCCAATGTCCTCTTCAGTTCTATTGTCTCTTTCTCTCACATTGCCAATGTCCTCTTCAGTTCTATTGTCTCTTTCTCTCACATTGCCATTGTCCCTCTTCAGTTCTATTGTCTCTTTCTCTCTCACATTGCCAATGTCTTCTTCAGTTCTATTGTCTCTTTCTCTCACATTGCCATTGTCCTCTTCAGTTCTATTGTCTCTTTCTCTCACATTGCCAATGTCCTCTTCAGTTCTATTGTCTCTTTCTCTCACATTGCCAATGTCCTCTTCAGTTCTATTGTCTCTTTCTCTCACATTGCCAATGTCCTCTTCAGTTCTATTGTCTCTTTCTCTCACATTGCCATTGTCCTCTTCAGTTCTATTGTCTCTTTCTCTCATATTGCCAATGTCCTCTTCAGTTCTATTGTGTCTTTCTCTCACATTGCCATTGTCCTCTTCAATCCTATTGTCTCTTTCTCTCACATTGCCATTGTCCTCTTCAGTTCTATTGTCTCTTTCTCTCACATTGCCACTGTCCTCTTCAGTTCTATTGTCTCTTTCTCTCACATTGCCATTGTCCTCTTCAGTTCTATTGTCTCTTTCTCTCACATTGCCATTGTCCTCTTCAGTTCTATTGTCTCTTTCTCTCACATTGCCACTGTCCCTTCAGTTCTATTGTCTCTTTCTCTCACATTGCCATTGTCCTCTTCAGTTCTATTGTCTCTTTCTCACATTGCCATTGTCCTCTTCAGTTCTATTGTCTCTTTCTCTCATATTGCCACTGTCCTCTTCAGTTCTATTGTCTCTTTCTCTCACATTGCCATTGTCCTCTTCAGTTCTATTGTCTCTTTCTCTCACATTGCCATTGTCCTCTTCAGTTCTATTGTCTCTTTCTCTCATATTGCCACTGTCCTCTTCAGTTCTATTGTCTCTTTCTCTCACATTGCCATTGTCCTCTTCAGTTCTATTGTCTCTTTCTCTCATTTTTCACTTCTATTGTTTTCTACCATCTCTCTTTCTTCCTTTTTCCTTCTCTCTTTCTCTCTTACCCTTCTCTTGTTTTCTACCGTTTTTCTCTCTCTCTCATTTTTTCCTTCCCTTACTTTTTTTCACTTCTTTCTCACTCACTTACTCTCTTTTTCTCCCACCTTTCCTTTCTTTTACTTTCTACCAGTTCTCTCTCTCTCTCTGTTTCATTTTCCTTATCTTGATTTCTACCACTTTTCTATGACTCTCTCTCTCCTTCTCACAAACATTCTGTCAACCTCTCTTATTTACTATCACCATATGCTCATACGTCCCCTCTCTCTCTCTCTCACACACACTCTCTCTGTTTTCTCTTCTCTTGCTATCTTCCCCCTCCTACACTTTCTCTCACACTTTTTCCCTCTCACTTTTAGCTTCTCACATTTTCTATCACCTCTCTCACTTTCTCGTCTCCCACTTTCTATCACATTTCTCTCACAGTCTATTTCCTTCATTCCCACTTTCTCACTCTCTATTATCTGTCTCTCAGTCTCTACCTTTCCCATTCTCTCAGTCTTCGTCACCTCTCTTTCTCTATCACTTTTTCTTCACTGAGTTTCTATCATCTTTGTTCATACTCTGTCTCACATTTTTCTCTTCTCTCACTTTCTACCCCCCCTCTTTCTCTTTCTATTTTTCCCTACCACCTCTCTCATACCCTTTTCTTTCATTTTCTACCACATCTCTCAGTCTCCCTCTCACAAACTCTCTTTCTTTCTTTCTTAATTTTCCCTTCTGTTGCTTTTGACCACTACTCTCTCACACGCTTTCTATTTTCCCTTCTCTTGCTTTCTACCACCTCTCTCACCCTCTTTTCTCTCTTTTTTCTACCACCTATTTCACACTATTTCCATTTCATTCTCCTTTTGTACCACCTCTCTAATAGCCTCTCCCCTTTTTCTATCCATTTTTACCACCTTTCACTCTTTTTCGCTTTTTTTTCTATCATCTCCCACACACTCTCACTCCCTTTCCCATACTCTCTCTCTCTTCCTTCTTGCTTTCTACCACTTACTCACTCACTCTCTCTCTGCTTTTTCTTCCTCTTTTTACTGCTTCTTGCACACTCTCTCAAACTCTCTTTCTCTCTTAATTTCCTCTTCTTTTGCTTTTGATCATCTCTCTTTCACTATTTCCCCCTCTCTCTCACCCTCTTTCTTACTTATCCGAGTTTAATTTGCTGCGTGAAATACTGCCAGGCACAATTTCTTTTGTACTTATATTAAGAAATGTTGTGCGAAGGCTACATTGTTTCTTTCCAATCTGGTCAGCCTGGATTAGAACAACTAAGCCTAGAGGCCTGAAGCAAACCTTTTACAGCCACTGTCCAAAGGAGACCGCTTTGTACTTATTTTCTTTGTTGTAATAAAGGGAAACGAATACTGAATAGATTATCACTATAAATTCTGGAATAGCTAGTATTATACTGACCAAATCTTTCACAATCTACGCCCACAGTGGTCAGTAGTCAATGTTCTATTTGAAAAATTCACACTAACTAAACAATAATATTATTTCTAATAAGCAGTCTTTATCACAAAGTTTTTTACTGATCCCCTCACCAAGAAAACATTAGTAAGATTATCATGAATTTTTATTAGATGAAGAATTTTCAGCTATTATTAATTTTTGACTAGTATCTCTTTCATCTGAATTTCACTTGCTTTTCATCTAGTAGTGTTAATAATAATATTATCATGAATTTTTATTAGATGATGCATTGTCAGCCATTATTAATTTTTTGACTAGTATTTCTTTCATCTGAATTTCACTTGCTTTTCATCTAGTAGTGTTAATAATAATATTATCATGAATTTTTATTAGATGATGCATTGTCAGCCATTATTAATTTTTGACTAGTATTTCTTTCATCTGAATTTCACTTGCTTTTCATCTAGTAGTGTTAATAATAATATTATCATGAATTTTTATTAGATGATGCATTGTCAGCCATTATTAATTTTTGACTAGTATTTCTTTCATCTGAATTTCACTTGCTTTTCATCTAGTAGTGTTAATAATAATATTATCATGAATTTTTATTAGATGATGCATTGTCAGCCATTATTAATTTTTTGACTAGTATTTCTTTCATCTGAATTTCACTTGCTTTTCATCTAGTAGTGTTAATAATAATATTATCATGAATTTTTATTAGATGATGCATTGTCAGCCATTATTAATTTTTAACTAGTATTGTATGCACATCACCACAATTATTTATCTTTGACTGGTAATGACGTGGAAAAGGACAAGCAAAGACGCCAGAGGTTACCAAACATGTAGCGGTCACAATGCAATGTATATTTGACATAAAATAGCACATAGTATAAAATACAAGACAGAATGTAATGGTTCAAAACGCAACAATTGAATTTATTAGTGTTGATGTACATGCATATAAGCTGAAGGTTTGAATGAGTTATGTCTCTTAGATTTGGAAATATTTGTACCTGAGTTCATAATGAGGAAGTAATTATTAAGCTGAAGTTTTAAAAGAATAAAATTCCTGTTGCATGTTAGAAAATGTGAATTAGTAAAGTTAGTAAGAGTTCAGAAGAGTTAAGAGTTCATACTTGTGCGAATTGGTAATGTTTTTTAATGTCTGTCTGCATGGTCAAGACGGGAGTTCTTGAAGATTACATCTTGGCAGCAAGGAATAAGATGAATAAAGAGAAAACAGAGAGAGAGAGCTTACATGTGTTTTGTTTATATAAGCTGGTGTATTATCACATGACTGGCTCAAACCTTAGTGAGTGGGAAATTTCATTCCTTGCATTCAGGATATCTGATTGGTTGGAATTGACCAATCTGTGAGCTAGTTTTGAAGAGATTAACCAATGAATGCTTGTTGCATGATTTGTATGTATGATGGTGATGATAATTATCACAGTATTTCTTTCATCTTAATTTTATTATCTTAGATTTGTATTAGGTGAAACATTGAAGAATAAAATCAAGGCAACAGAGGTATGGTTCTACAGAAAGATGATAAGGATGCCACAGACTGAACATTTGAGCATTGATGAGGTTTTGGAGAGGATGAAAACAAAGAGGAAACTTATATTTAACATCTGGAAGAGGCAGCTGAAATTTCTGGGACATTTAATGAGAAAGGAGGGCTTGGAAAATCTGATACTTACAGGGCGGATAGAGGGAAAGAGGGACAAGGAAAAACAAGGGAAAAAAAGCAGGATTAAGTGGATGTCAGAACAGGGTCTGGGAGATGTAGCAGAAGCACAAAACTTATTGAGAGCTACAAAAGATAGAAGGAAGTGGATAGCCATGATTGCCTATGTTCTGAAGCGATATGGCACATAGAAGAAGAAGCATTCTCAGCCATTATTAAATTTTGACTAATATTTCTTTCATCTTAATTTTACTTGCTTTTCACCTAGTTGCATTAATAGTGATATTATCTTGAATTTTTTCAATCACTGTCAGCCATTATTAAATTTTGACTGATATTTCTTTCATCTTAATTTTACTTGCTTTTCACCTAGTTGCATTAATAGTGATATTATCTTGAATTTTTTCAATCACTGTCAGCCATTATTAAATTTTGACTAATATTTCTTTCATCTTAATTTTACTTGCTTTTCACCTAGTTGCATTAATAGTGATATTATCTTGAATTTTTTCAATCACTGTCAGCCATTATTAAATTTTGACTAATATTTCTTTCATCTTAATTTTACTTGCTTTTCACCTAGTTGCATTAATAGTGATATTATCTTGAATTTTTTCAATCACTGTCAGCCATTATTAAATTTTGACTGATATTTCTTTCATCTTAATTTTACTTGCTTTTCACCTAGTTGCATTAATAGTGATATTATCTTGAATTTTTTCAATCACTGTCAGCCATTATTAAATTTTGACTAATATTCATTTTAATTTCTGTTTCTTTTCATTGTAACTGTGGTCTTTACATATAGCCATAGAATGAATAATTGCAAAGAGAATCAACTAAAATGAAAAAGAACAAAATAAAAGATAAAATTTGATAACAGTTAAAGTAAGCTATTAATTAAAGAAATTCCTAAAACTAAGCACTTCTCTATGTAGGCCTAACTCCTTGTAATGAAAAAGACAATTACTTGGTTTATAAGAGAAAACCAAATTGGTTCAGATGTTGCTGCAGTGACTCAGTTAAGTGAGATTGGTCATGACTCTTGATATAGGATTGTGGGGCCTCTGCTGAAGTTGACTGTTAATAACTTCAATAAGGTTTCCTCAGGTGATGTTAACCAGTTTTTTTTTTATGAGCATCAACTGGTGAAATGACAATTGACCCAAAAGAGTCACTTTTAATCTTATAACATTTGATTTCCTAAATAAAAGAATATTTCCTTAGATTTAAGAAACAAAATAGATAACATTTCAACAGAATGGGTAAACAGTGTGGTGCTTGTCTATGAAGAAAATGAAATCGACCGCATTGGAACAAATAAGCCTACAGGCCTGAAGTACATCTTTTATGGCCAAAGTAGACCACTTTGTGCTTATTTTCTTTGTTGTAATAAAGGGAAATAAATACTGAACAGATTACCACTGTAAAATAGGAAATAATTAGCAACTCAAAAATAAAAAGAGTCATCCTTTGCGCAAGGGCTCCAAGCATCACATCTGGACCACAAAATAAATCCCCTCAAAAAAATATAAAATACAGTATAAAAGGAGCCAATCATGAACATTGCAAGCTTCAACTAATCCACAAACTACTTCTCTCAATGTCACCACTGTGACCTCTGTCAACTGACCCAACATACACATCAACTACAGGTGCTATCGACACTAACAATAGCTAAACGATAATATTCTAAGTTTTATTACTGGTCAACTCAACAAGTAAACCATATTAATATTATCATAATTTTTATTTGTATTTGTTGTTTTGCCTGTCATTATTTATTTTTTTACTAGTATTATTTAATTTTATTTAATTTTATTTTATTTTTATTTTATTTTTAATTTTATTCATTTTATTTTATTCAAATTTTTTTATTAGTATTTATTCATATTTTATTTTATTTTTATAGTATTTATTCATCTTAATTTCACTTGATTTTCATCTAGTAATGTTAATACTCATATTGTCTTAAATTTTTATTAGATGAAGCATTGTCAGCCATTATTAATTTTGACTAGTACTTCTCTCATCTTACATTCACTTGCTTTTTATAACTTACTAGCAGTAGAGCCTGGCGTTGCCCGGGTATATAACAGTAAGAGATAGATCAAGTATCCACCATCATAAAGACTGAAAAATAAAATTAACAAAGATTATTGTTTAAGGTTGATTATACACGCATGTCTTAATTTATTTATTTTTTTTTTTTAAATTGGTCAAACCCAAACTCAAACAAAAACATTGTTTTCAATCGTTATGAGTCTCCTGATTGAATAGAATAATTTTATAAACAATTGTCTTGTAAATGGAATTTTTAAAGTAAAGCATTCTGAATGTAAAAACAACGAAAAAAGTGTGCCAGACAATAAGAAACACTACATGCCAAAAAAAAAATTGAAGTTTTGTTGAAATCGGTTGAAAAATGTAGGTAGCCTTTCTGTAATCTTTTAGTTTTACAATTTATGATTTTTACTTATTGAATACAGTAAAAAAAAATTGAATATTTTGCTTGTGGTGATTCATAATTAGAATTCTGATTTGAATATATTTTCCACTCATTGTTTCTAATACAAAAAATATTAACTTTATTTGGGTTTATTAATTATGATCTAACAAATCTTATTCATTTAGTAGCCTTTCTGTAATAATAATCTTTTACAATTTATGATTTTTACTTATTGAATACAGTAAAAAAATTGGACACCATGTGTATTTAAAGTAGTTTCCCGTTCCGGTTATTATTTTTAGTTAGGACTTGTGTATGTTTAGATTTCATTATCTTTCCCTAAAGATAAAGAATTTATTCCGATGTTTGGATTCGTACAATCAGTAGAGATCGTTAGATTATTGTTTAAGGTTGAGCGACACGCATGTCTTAATTAGTTTTTATTTTTTTTATTTTTTACGAATTAGTCAAACCCAAACTCAAACAAAAACATTGTTTTCAATCGTTATGAGTCTCCCAATTGAAAAGGAATTTTATTATAAATAATTGTCTTGTAAATGGAATTTTTAAAGCATTCTGAATGTTAAAAATAAAGAAAAAAGTGTGCAAGAGAATAAGAAACACTACCTGCCAAAAAAAAAAAGAAGTTTTGTTTTATCAGCTGAAAAATATAGGAAATCCGATGTGAGTTGTCCCCCTTCATTTTCACGATGTCTCTTAATCGTGTTTTCAAATTGATTTTGTGCAAAAACAATTATATTTTTCCCATTTTTGACGCTGTTAGAACCACCACAAGGTAATTTTATGTAGTCCTGTGAGGTTTTGTTGAAATCGGTTGAAAAATGTAGGAAATCCGATCCAATATATAAACGTTACAGACACACACACACACACACACACACACACACACACACACACACACACAATCTGCGTTTTATAATAAATAAGATGTGATATTAATCATCTAATTCTGAGTACATTTTATAGATAAGGCTCAATTAGTAATTTTTAGATATCTTGCAGAAATTAGTTTCTTAAATAAAATATATTTCCTTTGCTTGATGTATAAATAGCATGATGATTATCAGTGAAAAATATAAAATCAGAAGACTGAGTTCAAATTGTGACCAAAGCTATTCTTTAGATTGTATATTAATATTGTGGGGTAGGACATGTATCTGTCTTTTCTATCCCTTCCAGCTATAGGAAAATACTCTGGCAAACTGAAGCCTTTAGCTTTGATAGTATAATCATTCAAGAACAACTCTGAATTTAATACTATGGAGAATGCAATGGATAATCATTTTGCTATTACCTCAACAAAACATCTTAATGATTTGCTAGATAGATAGATAGATAGATAGATAGATAGATAGATAGATAGATAGATAGATAGATAGATATGAAATTTAGATAGATTTGAATAGACTAAAATAGATATAGATAGATAGATATGAACAGACTGTTATAGATAGATAAATATGAACAGGCTGAGATAGATAGATATGAACAGACTTAGATATAAATAGACTTAGATAGATAGATAGATAGATAGATAGATAGATAGATATGAAACTGAAATAGGTAGGTATGAATAGACTGAGATAGATAGATATGAATAGACTAAAATAGATAGATAGATAGATAGATAGATAGATAGATAGATAGATAGATAGATATGAACAGACTGTTATAGGTAGATAAATATGAACAGGCTGAGATAGATAGATAGATAGATAGATAGATAGATAGATAGATAGATAGATAGATAGATAGATAGATATGAACAGGCTGAGATAGATAGATAGATAGATAGATAGATAGATAGATATGAATAGACTTAGATATGAATAGACTTAGCTAGCTAGATAGATAGATAGATATGAATAGACTGAAATAGACAGATATTAACAATCTTTCTGTTAAAACAATTTTTCTGGAAAATAGAATTCTCTAGTGTTATTATTTTTTTCTAGTATTGATGGGGGCTACATTTGTTTACAATCGAGTGGGATGTCAACATATTAATGATGTCATTATTTTTTCTTTGAGTTACATATGCTATCCATTTTAGTTGTTGCTGCTCTTGGTAGTCCTCAAATGATGTGGTTTCTGTTATTTTGTATAGTTCCTTGTTTGTGATTCCAGTTTCTGATGTTTGATGGTTCTTGCCAAGACCTTCATGCTTCATTTGGCTAAAGCCATCTTTAAATAAATCAACAGATAGATAGATATAAACAAACAAAATGAGGTCAACTGATTGATTTGTTTTACATGGTTTATCAACTCTTTGTGGGTTAAAGCCAAACATATTTTAGATCTGCACTCTGGAATTTTTTCCCATTATCTCTATCTCTGAAAGAAAGAATTACTACTTTCCCAATCATACATGACTATAAAAACATGAAAAAGTTAAAAGAAAACCATTAAAAACATGACCTCATGTTATTTCATTGCATTAAAAATAAATTCCAAGAGCATCTCTTACTTTCATTTATTAGACATTGAATATCACCATTAACACCAACACAAAGGGGATCACCTTTCTGGACACTACTTTTGACCAATCCAGAGGAGTACACACGCCTTATACTCATAACACTACCATTTGCTCCTACCTCTATAGTAAGGCTGATAAGTCCAACAAGGTCAAAATGAGAACTTATTTACAAAACGACCTCGACTGGTGGTTTGTCAATTTTAATACTTCCAAAACTAAACTTCTCTCCATTAATCATCTGAGAAACCCCTCTCTGCCTTCTATCAGCATGGCTGATGCTAATCTCCAAAAAAGTGACACATTGTGCCTTTCCAGGCTAATGTTCGCAGCTGACATGAGGTGGAAAGACTATATTGAATCCATTCTTAGATCAGCTGCTAAGAAAGTCATTTCACTGTGTCGAGCATGAAAATTTTTCTCTTCAGAATCTATCTTGCATATCTATAAGTCTACCATTCGTCCATGCTTAGAATATTGCTGTCATATACACTGCGTGCCAAATTATTATCAAGATAACTTTTTGTTCTAATATTTCAAAAACTGTCCAATCAATTCACAGAAAATGTTCACACGATGTTGGCAACACTGACCTGCGCAATCACTAAAATTTTCGTACTGATCTGCGCAATGTAAACAAACTTGCACCATATTTGTTATCAGCATGGTGATTTAAGCATGCCACATTATTAGAAAAGTGTAAGAATTTAGTGAAAAGATGGGCCGTAAAAGCAGTTTAAATGATGCTGAAAAGAAAACTATCACCTCAGAAGTCTCAAAAGGTAAATCTACCCTAGAAATTTTTAAAATGATAGGAGGTGTCATCAAACAGTGAAAAAGTTCACCACCGACCCTACACAAGTAGGCAAAAGGGCAGATAAAGGGAAGCCGAGGGTTATTTCACGTCGTCTCATGTCACGACTTAAACGAGAGGCCACGAAGAACCCTGGACTTACCAGTCAAGAGATTTTCAGTCACATTGGGGATCCTACTGTGTCTAAAAGTACTCGATGTCGGTATCTGGGGGAAATAGCAACAACAGTCAAACCTGTATCGAAGCCTCCGTTGATGAGAAATCACATTCAAAATCGATTGAAATGGGCCGAGGACAATATGAAGATTGACTTCTCTAAAGTTTTGTTCACAGATGAAAGTCGAGCAACACTTGATGGGCCTGATAGATGGTGCAAAGTCTGGGTAATGAATGGACAGAATCGCCATCAGCATTTGAGATGCCAACAAGGCTGTTGAGGCATAATGATCTGGGGTGGTATTATTGGAAAAACATTAGTGGGCCCATGGAGAGTACCAGATGGCGTCAAAATGACTGCTGATGCATACATAGCATTTATGAAGGAGCATCTTGAACCGTGGATGAAAAGGCAAATAGTTGCCTTCAGAAGGGCCATTGTTTTTATGCAAGATAATGCTCCCTCACATGATGCTCACAAGACTACTGAATATTTGAAACAGTTAGGCGTCGATGAACCTCAAAAAATGATGTGGCCAGCAAATTCTCCAGATTTGAACCCAATCGAAAACCTTTGCAGCATCATGAAGCGAAGACTGTACGCCAACAGACGACAATACAGGAGCAACGCTGAGTTATAGGAAGCAATTCTTGACATATCTCACGGCATTACAGCAGATGACGTCCTACAATTAACAAATTTTTTTGATCGTCGACTTCTTCAAGTAATTTTAAAACAGGGAAAGCACATTCCCTATTAATTTGTTTAAAACTGCTTTGTTTTTATCTGTTATTATTTGTTTGATTATCTTATTTATTAGCTTCTTTTGATCATAAACATTCACGTGCAACATTAATAAACGTTTTTTTTGCTCAATTCTGGGAATTTTACTAAACCTTTCTAATAATTTGGCATGCTCAAATCACCGTGCTGATAACAAATATGGCACCAGTTTGTTTACGTTGCGCAGATTAGTACGAACATTTCAGTGATTGCGCAGGTCAGTGTTGCCAACATTGTGTGAATTGATTGGACAGTTTTTGAAATATTAAAAAAAAAGGTATCTCAATAATAATTTGGCACGCAGTGTATGGCCTGAAATCCTTGCTATTTTTCTGGAGCTTCTTGATAAGAGCCAAAGAAGAATCAGCGATTTTATTGGTCCTGATCTACTTTTGTAGTGCAACTTCAAGTTTTATGGTTTACCAACTCATCAGGCACAAACTATCATTTAATTTAATCCATGAATATTTCAACCATAACACTTTACTTAAAAAAATTTCAATAAGAACAATATTAAGATTAGCTACAGTTGCACTAAGAAACTTGAGCAACATATAATACAGCATAATAATCTAACATTAAACAAATACTTCAACAATCTCAATAACAATATTAACACAGAAGAAAGTCTATTTGTTAAAAAAACATTAACTGTCCAATAAACCATATTATATATCTATAAAGACGTCATCTACAAGGCTAGCATTAAACATAATGGCGAGACAAATTTTATATTGGTTCCATAGTCAATCACTGGAAAATCCGATTTTATCACCATAAAATGATGCTAAACAATAAACAATATGCAAATGCCATGACACTATCAAAATTTTACTGGGATATTAAAACAGATGACTATACACCGGTAATAAATTGGAATTTTATCACTAAATCTACACTTCCCTGGCTGCGATAAGCAATGCAACCTGTGCTTGCTGGAAAAAGATTCATCCTCAAAAAAATTAATCACCGAAATCTACTTAATAAATGAAATGAACTTAAGTCAACTTTTTTTTTTTTTTTTTTTTAAGCATTTCACCCCAAGCAAGGCAGGAGTACCACTAGCATGCAAAGGGTTCACAGAGAGTGAGAGCAAGAGTAGAGAGCGGTGTTTTAGGAAAGGAGAAAGAGAACATACATGACTATAAAAACATGAAAAAGTTAAAAGTAAACCATTAAATTCATGACTTCATGTTATTTGATTGCATTAAAAAAAATTTCAAGAACATCTCTTATTTTCATTCATTAGACATTGAATTGTGTCACTTTGTGTCATCCATCACTTGCGTTTCAGTTAATCTGATGAATATTTGTGTTTCTAAATTTAAAAGTTTTAAAAAACTAATAACATATTATTTTTTTTTTTGGTTGAATTTTTGGAGGCATATCTGTGTGTTACTTAATGCCGAAATCTAAATATTTTGAACATAATTTTATGGGTCAACTACAGATAAAATGTATTCTTCATATTTCAAGTATCTTGTCTACATTCACTTTCTCACAGACATGTTATGGCTTCCCTCTGTCTTTTCTACAAGTATTTTCATGGCGACTGCTCTGACGAGCTACTTTCACTGTTTCCCAAACTGAATGAATTTAAGTGTGCTACTATGCTGGCATCTTGGTCCCACCCTTTCACTGTCAAAACAGTTAAATGTAGCCATCTCTTCTACTCCAACAGCTTCTTCTCTTGCACTTCCCGACAATGGAACTCCCTTCCTCCTAGTTGCTTTCCTGATAGCTATAATCTTCAAATATTCAAATCGACATCTAATACCTTGATCCTGATCCCTGTCCTTTTCTATATCCTTTCCTCAAACACCTTCTTTACTCCTGTTCTCACTTTCTGTAACCCCTTGCATGCTAGTGGCACTTACGCCATGCTGTGGGGTGATATGCTTAAAAAAATATATGCATTATTGGTAATTTTACTATATAAAAATATATTGCAGGTAATTTTACTATAAAAATGTATTTTTATACTTTCAAAGTGTTTTGTTTGGAGTTTCACTATTGCCTATAGCTGGGACCCTAACAGGTGCTACCACTCTGAATCAAGTTGCACATGGGAACAACAGCAATTAAGGGGTAGTTCCATGCCCCTTAAAACCTTCAATCTCTTGATCAGAGGCTTTACTGCTTGATGTAGTTTATTGTCATACCCAGGACTGTGTATATATATATATATATATATATATACTTGTTACCAAATAAAATACTTGCATTTGCCTTGATAAAGTCCCTCAGAGGACAAAACGTGTCAGCTAAGATAAGTTTTCCTTTTGTCTTTATTCATATTTTGGATTTTAAGAATAATTCTTTTTCTTTTTTTTTCTTACAAAGGAGTATTTTACTAATTTTCTTGGATATAACAATGATTTTTACAAATATAAATTGTACTATTTAACCTATAGCTGGGGGAGGAGATGGATTCATATACCTTTACAAAGGTATTTGTGCATAAGCAAATGTAATGAACTTAACTGGAATTCAAACTTAGCTTTCTTATTCCTCATTCTGAGCCACTAACCATTAAATCACATTCTAGATAGATATGAATAGAGTGAAACAGATATATAAAGAGATAGTGTGAGAGAGAGATAGAGGGAGAGATAATATGAGTGAGAGATAGTGTGAGAGAGAGAGAGAGATAGTGTGAGAGAGAGAGTGTGAGAGAGAGAGAGATAGTGTGAGAGAGAGTGTGAGAGAGAGTGTGAGAGAGATAATGTGAGAGAGAGAGTGTGAGGGAGATAATGGGAGAGAGAGATAGTGTGAGAGAGAGAGTGAGAGAGATAGTGTGAGAGAGATAATGTGAGAGAGAGATAGAGGGAGAGATAATATGAGTGAGAGATGAGAGAGAGAGAGAGAGAGAGAGATAATGTGAGAGAGAGATAGACAGTGTGAGAGATAGCGTGAGAGAGATAATGTGAGAGAGAGGTGAGAGAGAGAGAGAGAGAGTGTGGAGAGATAATGTGAGAGAGACACAGGGGAGATAATGGGAGAGAGAGAGAGAGTGAGAGAGAGTGAGAGAGATAGTGTGAGAGACACAGAGAGAGAGAGAGATGGAGAGAGAGATATGAGTGAGAGATACAGAGAGAGAGAGAGAGAATGTGAGAGAGATGGTGTGAGAGAGTGTGAGAGAGAGGGGGAGAGAGAGACACAGAGAGAGAGAGAGAGTGAGAGAGAGAGTGTGTGAGAGATAATGTGAGAGAGAGAGAGAGACAGAGAGAGTGGGAGAGAGATAATGTGAGGAGAGAGGTGTGGGGAGATAATGGGAGAGAGAGATAGTGTGAGAGAGAGAGAGTGTGAGAGAGATAGTGTGAGAGAGATAATGTGAGAGAGAGAGAGTGTGAGAGTGATAATGTGAGAGAGAGATAGTGTGAGAGAGAGAGTGTGAGAGAGATAGTGTGAGAGAGATAATGTGAGAGAGAGATAGTGTGAGAGAGAGAGTGTGAGAGAGATAATGTGAGAGAGAGATAGTGTGAGAGAGAGTGTAAGAGAGAGATAATGTGAGAGAGAGATAGTCTGAGAGAGAGGTAGTGTGAGAGAGAGAAATAGAGGAAAAGGAGAGAGATTAATAAATAGAAATGTTTTTAATAACATTTTGGTTTTAGCTTAAAAATAAAGGCTAAAATATATTCGGCTAATTGTCTTGTAATTAAATCTACTTGAATATTTCCCTCAATATGAATGGCAACCTTCTTAGAGATGGTGACTCAATAAAATCACTTGTACTTGGCCTGCCATGAGTGTCTGACTTAGGCATCAGGAAGAGCATCCAGCATTGTAAAACCTTGCTTCATTTTATTATGACAAGTCTCTGTATGTTGACAGGTGTCTGTGGAGAGGTAAACTGAGATCCCCTGTCAGGGAGAAGACCTACCCCAACCAAAAAACATAGCTATGATGACAATGATGATGATTACAATATTATGGAATTAGGCATGGTTCAAGAATGAGCAACATATGGCGTCTGGGTAAATATTAACCTGGAGTCAACACACATGCATATATACAGGGTGCGATGGATAAATTGTCATATAAATTACATAAAAATACAAATAATACTGATATCTCATTTTAACAGATATATTTACCAAAATTACACAAAAATATCTTGAAATACTAAAGAGTAACTTTATTCAATAAAATCACCATTGGCTTCAACCACAAACTCTGAATGACTTCAGAATCATCCAAATTGATGGTCCTTATTTAATGTTTCATATGTTTTTACATATTTAAAATGTCTTCCTTTCTCACATACTAGGCTCTATAGGCCTCTCTACTTGAGTCTTAGAGGCATATAATCGAGGAGTTGGCTCAGGCATCACCAAACCTCTGCATGTTACTGGCCATATCACATCGAATACAACAGTTCTCATCCAGTCACTGAAGTTAAGCAGTAGTGAGCATGGTTAGTATTTAGATGAATGATGGAGGCATGGTGGAGTAATGGATAGCAGATCAATAAGAAATTGGAGAGCCAAGTTCAAATGAATCCACTTTTTCTCCCCTCAGCTATAGGGTAACTAGCAGGATAGGCTAGGTTCTATAGCCTTGGCTGGCAACTAGTCTAGGAATTCAAAACTGAATTCAAAACTGTATATAGCCCTGGTGTAGCACGTACTATACAGCTAATGAAAGGATCATTCATATTAGCCTGATGATCCTGACAATGGTCAAATGATGATGATGATGAACTTTGACAATACCAGGTGCTGTAAGCATAACCCAGGTAGATGGAACTGGTTGGCCAAAAACTCAGCCTTTACTGATGAAAAATATGAAGCAAGTGAAGCTTTTAAATGTTGTATGTCTTTGTGAAGGACAATTAATATAAGCATCACATAGTAAGGTTATAAATTCTAGGTTGGTGTCTAGTACAAATAAACCCCAATTTATGCAGAAGGAAAGTCTTCTTTAAGCCTTCTCATGCATAAATCACATCTATGAGGATAGAAAATGAACTCAGTAAAAGCACAAAAATAGAAAGAACGTAAGACACGGAGGTGTCTTCTCACCAGACTTATTCGACCTTTGCAGTGAAGCAATCCTGAGAAAATTAGAAGTCCTACCAGGATTCATTATTGGCAGCCGCAATCTTAACCACATTAGATATGCAGATGACAGTGATGATAGCAGATGCAAAAAGAAAACTACATGATCACCTAGAGAAAGTAGTAAAGGAAAGAGAGAAGAAAGGACTAAACATCAGTTGTAAGACAATTGTACAGTTATCAGCAAAAGAAACAGCCCAACATGTGAATTACAAATTCAAGATGCTAAAATTGAAGAGGTACCAAAATTATCTATAATAGAAAATTCAACAGTGATATGCAAAGATACATTGGGATAGCAAACAAAAGATGCCTTCCAAAAGCTAAGCAAAATATTAAGAAACAGAAAAATCTCATTAGAAACAAAGAAAAGAGTACTGATCTGTTATGCAATATTGGTCCTTCTATATGGCAGTGAATGCTGGACAATCTCCTCACAGACTGGACCAGCAGAAATGTGGTTCTGCAGAAGGATGCTAAGAATACCATAGACTGAACACATTAGCATTAATGAAGTTTTAAAGAAAATGTAAGCAAAGTAGGGTGATTGAATTCATGAAGTCTGGGAACCAGCGAATACAGCTCCTTGGAGCAATTACCATGAAAGTATTTGTAAAAAAGACAGAGAGAGGCGACATCCCGCTCTCACCCTTTCACTGTCGAAACTATTAAATGTAGCCGTCTCTTCTACTCCAATAGCTTCATATCTCGCACCTCTCGCCTGTGAAACTCCTTTCCCTATTCCAGTTTCCCTGAGAGCTATAATCTCCAACTATTCAAATGCAATGTCAGTCGACATCTCCAGTTGTCTTGATCTATCCATTATCCTTCTCCTTATCCTTTCCTCTATCACTCCTATCTGATCTTGCTCCAAATCTTCTGTAACCCCTTGCGTCCTAGTGGCTTTCCGCCTTGCTTGGGGTGAAACACTTAAAAAAAAAAAAAAGAAAAAACAGGACACTTATACATTGCATCAAAAAGAGATAGTTAAAATTTCTAGGGTACATAATGAAGAAAGAAGGCTTGGAAAATTTTACACTGACATATTAAAGGCAAGATGGACGTAGGAATGCAGTGCATAACTTACCTAATGTGCTTGTATAAATGGTTGGCGCAACAGGGATTAAGAGATATAGCAAAAAGACAAACTTTACTAAGGGCTACAGATGACAGGAAATTGTGGAGACTCATGATCTCCCATGTTGTGAAGAGTCACAGCACATAGGAGAAGAAAATATATAAATCCTTCAAACCCAGTTGTCATCTTCTTCCAATTTGCCCCTAAGCCAGTAGGCTGATAAAATTAATATGAAAATGTCAAGCCAAAATTTCCATACAAGAGAGAACCACATCTTTGTCATGTGACCAGGAGAACAAATCCGCAGCTCCAGACAGATGTGACAGTAGCAATCAGGGGATTGCTCAGCAGCCTCTGACTGTCGTGTTACATGTAACAAGAGGAAAATAAAGAGAGCCACTTAAAGATGGGTTCCTTTTCACAGAACTACCTTATGTTATTATTTACTAATGACCACATCTTTGTTGTTATTGGCATAAGACACATTTTTTGGCTAATACAGTAGCTACAATAAAAATAGAGACTAATTTTCCTACAAAGTAGTAATTGGTAATAAAAAGAAAGACTCATTTTCGGGCATGACAATAACTGGCAATAAATAGATTCATTTGTCAATAAATTAATAACTCACAAAATAAAGGCTCATTTTTGGACAAAATAATAATTGGTAATAAAAAGAAAGACTCATTTTCAGGCATGACAATAACTAAATAGAATAATAAATAGAAAGATTCATTTGTCGACAAAGCAGTAGTTGACAGATTAAAGACTTATTTTTGGCAAGACAGTAACTGGCAATAAAATAAAACATTTCATGGACAAGACATTATCTGGCAATGAAAATAAATACTCAGTTTTGGATAAGACATTAATTGGTAATAAAAAGAAGAAATCAGATTTTAGGCAAGTCTCTTGCTGACAATTAAAAATTGATTTATTATAAGAATTCGAAATAATGAAAATTATTGTATAGATCAGAATCTTCACATGAATTCTTCCATATATTTTTCCTTTGTGATTAATTCCAGCTTCGCAATAAACTTTGAAATTCATGAAATGTTGGTTTCTAATGAAAAGATGAGTTTCCATTAAATGTTGAAATTTTTTCTTCTGCTTTTAATAAAGTTGTTGCCATGGATTCTTGGCTTTTTTCCCTACATTTAATTTGATTATAAATAAAACTAAAGAAACTTTAATTTGGACAAGTCTCCTACGTGCTCAGATCTTTAATACTTTCGTAACATGTTAAACCATAATTTGTTTGACATTCATCCACATAGATTAGACACGTGTTATAAAATTAAAATTTAAAACAAAAATCAACATTACTCACATAACTTATTTTTATTGCATTAGTGGTAATATTTTTAATTTTGGTTTCTATAGTATTTAGTATTTCTGTAGTATTTAGTATTTAGTCTTCAGTATCTGTCTCTATTTTTGAGATGAGGTATTATGTACACTATTTACATTGTTTGGACTATCGTCCTCATCTTTGCTACCATATTTAATTTTGGCTTCTATAGTATTTGATATTTCTGTAGTATTTAGTATTTGGTCTTTTAGTTGTGAGGATGAATGCGAATGGCTTTGATTAGTGATCCGTGTTCATAGATTTAGGGAGCTAACGAGACTGATATTGTCTTCCTTATATTTTTACTGCCTGGATGTTGAGTGTCCCTTTTCTCTCCACTAGTTCCTCATTATAGTCCCAGCCTAGTTGCTGCCATTTAGCTGGGTTAAGTTATAAACTACAACTTCTTCAGTGTTTGAAAATTCAAAGTATTTGGTTAATAATTTACAGCTAAAAAGAAAACTGAAAGTTTGTGTCAAAGCAAATAAAAAATAAAGTTTTCACTGTGATGACTTGTAAAATCCTGGAAATTAAAAACCAACAAAGACCTGTCAGAGAAATCATTCTCAGCTCTATACACAATATTCAAAATTGATTTAGCATTAAACAAAATAATAAATGAAATTATTTGTCAGCCAATGAAAAGCTTTAAAAAAGAAATTAAAGAAACACATCTATCCTTCACATTTTTATGGAGGCTGATCTTTAACTGGCAAAAAAAAGAAAGATTCATTTTTGAACAAGATGGTAGCTGCCAATATAAAGAGAGATTCATTTGTGAACAAGACGGGCAATAAAAAGATTCAGTTTTGGACAACATGGTAACTAGCAATAAAAAAAGAGACTCAATTTTTAACAAAATGTTAAGTAGTAATACAAAGAAAGACTCATTTGTGACACTGACAAGAAAAAGAAAAATTAAGTTTCAAACATGATACTAACTGGCAATAAAATACTCATTTTTGAACTAGACAGTAATTGGCCAGAAAAAGAAGTACTCAGTTTCTTCAAGACAGTAACTGGCAAGAAAGATGGGTAAATAGCAGAGTAGACTGGTCTCTTTAGCCCTGCTATGGCAGCCAGTCTGGGAGGACAAATATGGATTCCAAATTGTAGAGGAGCTAGTGGAAAAACAATTCTACTGTCTTTCCAAAGAAGTCATGCCAATTCACAGATATTTAAAAATGGAAGATGTGGAAAGCTATGATCATCTAATTAATTTATTCCTTTTCTCACTGTACACAGCAGTCCCCAGATGTACCAATACAAACAAGAAAAAACAATATCAAATAAAGAAAAGTAATAATGTTTAAAATATGTTGAAAATTGTCAGCATGCAATAGCATTCATTTTATGCAGGGCTCAAGGACAAAAGCTGTCCCTCAAGCACTTTTTCCTAGAACCAATAAAACTAAAATGTTGTCCTGAGGGTAACAGTTCAAACAAGTGGTTTCTTAGCAGATGATGAATTCAATATAGTCTTTCAAATTCATGTCAGCCAAGAAGGTGCAATGTGTCACTCTTTTGGAGGCTAGCATCAGCCATGATGATAGAAGGCAGAAAAACGTCTTTCAGTTTTAAATCTGAACTTATTTGCTTCTTTTCTCGCTCCTTTTGCTTGTTTTTTTTTTCTTTCTAACAAGTACAACATATGGGATGTAACTCAAAACCAGAAATTTTAAACCTGTTGGCTCTTGATAAACATACAAAAAAAAGGAAGGATTTGCAATATTTTTGATAATGGCATCGGCACATGAGAAGAGAGAAAGTCGTCTGAATTCAAGCAACATGATTCCTATTAAAGTGTGTTATTTGAGATGCATATGCCAAAGTCCAGTTTTAAATCCTTTCTAAAGTTACATTTTTTTCATACTTTCATTTTCTTCTTCTTTTTTACCTTCTTTTTTCTGTTTTTTGATTTTTCTTTGTCTATTTTCTTTCTTTTCCTATTTTCTTTCTTCAATTTTCTTCTATCTTTTTCTTATTTTTTATTTTCTTTCTCTTTTTCTTTTTCTTTTTTCTTTCTATTCCTTTTTTACCTTTTTTCTTTTTCATTTTTATATCTTTTATTTTTCACTTTTTCTTTCTTTTCTCCTTTTTATTCTATTTTCTTTTTCTTTTTACTTTTCCTCTTTTACTTTTTCTTTTTATTTTCTTTTTACCTTTTTCTTTTTATAGTTTGACTTTTATTCTTAAATTTTATCTTTTTCATTCTTTTTGTCTTTTTTCTTTACTTTTTCTTTCTTCCATTATTTCTTCCTTATTTCTTTTCATGTTTTCTTTATATTTTTTCTTTTCTCCTCTTCTTTTTTTCTATTTTTCTTTTCTATTTTTTCTTTTCTTTTCACTTTTTCT